AAACTAATCCTGATCCTAAATTCAATTGTTTCGTTGTCGCAGGTACAATCTCAAACCGATATGAATTCGCGTGGCACTCCTTTGTCGCATCAGATTAAACGAATCTCCATTCAATGGTCTATTACTATGCAAGGTTTGGCGCTGCTGCACTGTACCGTTCAAAAGTTGTTTCAGAAAACTTTCGAGGAGGTGAAACTGATACCCCACCTGAACGCGTGTGAACGACGGTTTGGCGGTAAAAAAACTGACAAGAGCTGCCTCAAAATATGATGTTTCTTGGATCGTGTTGGCACCTTGCGGAGGGTCTAGCACTTTAAAAAGGCCCTAGGGAGTATTTTACTTTGTACAAGTCAAGCTCATCTGTACGCTGAACGGTAGGGTGTGTCATCCGACACATTTGTTTTAAGATAACTTCATCACGGCACCACGGCCATCCTCCGGGAGATTGAAGTACTGCAAGTGAGTGCTAGGGTGGTAATTTCGCACGACGTTTTTGGCAGAATTTAAATGTCATACAAATGTTCCATGACGCAGACAATGACGTACTGAGCAGCATGTTTCCTTAAAAAGTCGTCTAGAGCAGTCTTTCCCACTTAAAAATATGTAAAAAATTGTAAGTGAGATTTTTTCGCGGTATCTGGTGTTTGCCTCAATATGTTCAAATGTGGAACATTTCCTTCAACAAAGCGATGACGCTGTCATCTAGCGGCAAAACCAAAATTCGGCTTGAAGCTGAAATAGAGGTAGTTTTTAAACTTCTAATAACCTAAAAATTGTCCCAAATGTCCTGGATTTGTTAAGATTGACATCAGGACGCCTTTACTCTTAAGACCACGTTCCAAGACTGGGCGAGGATCGCGCAGCACCATTTGCGCGCTGTGTGAGCAAATGGCAGGACAGCAAATAGCGAAAGGGTGAATGTTTGGCGCCACCGGGCACTGTCGCGCCCGGCGGTGCCAAACTAGGCAGCTCGTTATGTCACGGGAAAGAAAAAGACCATGGTCAGTTACGTGGTAATCGATAGCAGAGTCAGTTGTTAGCAGCCAGTTCATCATGTATAGCCGTTCCATTTTTATGCCCGCAGGCGATACGAGTAGAAGATGCCGACAAATGCGGCGAACCCGACGCCAAGTTCGGCCGCACTGTAATTTTAAGCTGATACAGAGGGGAAGGTGAATAATTTTTGGATTCTGATGATTAATATTTGAATAGTGTTTATTCAAGTTGTTCTACCTCATTTTAATTTTTCCTCAGTGAGCAATAGTCGTGACTGAAAATTCGGCAAAATACAGCTTAACGAATATCACATATACAGTTATTGTAAGGTCATCTTAATTTTCTCTTTATATTATACTGTACTTTGGCGGTTGGAAGGATCTCACTTCTGTCAGCGCAAGGAATGTGTGCCAAGAAAAGCACATATTTATGGCATCCGAGCACGGTGGGGAATACATCTCACACTCCTGCCACAGTCTAATAAAGGCTATCACCCAGCTCAGTGAACTGCAGACGATATCCTGCGAGTATGGCGGAGACGTGACACTATGACGCCATCTGCCGGCTGCTTGAACTGATCAACAATAGACCTGCACATTGGTCCATCTGACAGCAGCATGCCAACGAGCTTATAGTTAATAGCTGTTCAAGGAACATGATTTGACAACTGCACTGGAGTCGTTGGCGGGATCGCTCGGCAAAGCGGCTGCAGGAGCAGTGCGTAAGCTGCCTGTCGTCCAGAACAGCCTTATCAGTGGCAGAAGACATAAATGACATCTGATGACCCATCCCTCGCTGTGCCATAGCCTTCGCCGATGCACACATTTCTGAATTCGTCTGAACACATATGGCAGCATGTTAGGTGCAGTGCAGGTGGCCAACGAATGGCGCATGTGTGCTGCTGGGATTTATGTTGATGGTAAATCCGAACACCCAGCTTCAGGAATGTGCTAAGTACCAGGTGCACCACTGGTACTCACATGGTTCCACAGAAAATGACACATGTTTCGGGGTGCCAATGAACGTCCTGTGTTCTCTGAAACTCCCGATGGCTCCACCGCGCTAAATGCAGGAGGTAATGCAGCCCGTCATGGAGAAGAATGCGTACTGGCTTCATCCAGAGGATGTACTTTTGATGATAAAGAGTAACAAGGATGCAGGAATCAGAACGGAAGTCGTAAAGTGTGTCGAGAAATACCGCCCTGAGTCGCAGGATGATGTCGGCCCGTTCGCTCTGCCAGCTGTGAGACTCGCTGTCAATCATTCTGAGCTGTTATTCGACAGGGACGCAGAGCTGGCGACAGAATGGCCACTGATAACATATCTGAGTGCACAAGAACCCAGAAACACCGAAGAACATCGCTTATAAGTAATGATTCCCGGTCCTCACTCAGGCCGTAGGAAGGGCGGTCCGAGTGGTGACCGAAGCGTGACATCCCGCGATAAGCGTAGGGGGCCACATGGGTCTACATGCGCACGCCTGAAGCACATAAGTCTCACGCCAACGCCTTTAAGAAAGCGGGTTTTGCTTTGTTGCCTGATCAACAGCGCGGATGAAAACGGGTGTTTACAGGAAAGACGACCGCGTACAACAATGAGTCCCTTCTTTTCCAAACTTAACGTTTCAGTTGCACCGATTTTGACACACCGGCCTTATCCTTCCGGCATGGGAGTGGGTCACTCCACAGCTTTATGAAGCTTGCGATGGCCCGTGATGCGTGGGACTATACTTGTGCAGAAATAGGAGCTGTAGGATAGCGAAATGTGCACATCAGACTCGACACCCGAAGCTGTTTGGTATGGTTATATGCTATGTTTCGTGGTCGCTGAAATGCTGCGCTTGTTGGACTATGTTTTCAATAGCTGTCCGTTACAAAATAAGTTGTTCACCCATTTGTCTGTTTCACCGAGTTTATCAGAAAACATACACTGCATGTCTCATTTCAATATTTATATTATTATTTCATTTCAATTCACATAATTTTATATCAATATCTTTATCTCACCGAGTTTATCACAAAACATACACTGCATGTCTCATGCCAATATTCATATTATCATTTCAATTCAATTCATATCATGTGATATCAAGATCATCATCTCAGCTGTAGTTTGTACCACCAGATGTCAGCTCTGAGAGGAACATGAAAAAGTATATCGCCTGGCCCAGGTTGGGCTCGTAATCTTTCGAAGAAATATTTGGTGATGTTTAGTACATGTCATTCCGCACCAAATTATCGCCGGTTGACCATGTTCTGCGCGGCGCCCCCAACTGGGTGGTTGCATCAAAAGAAACGCTGCCAGTGATCGTGGATGATGAGCAGTAGTAATACATGTTTAATCACAGCCTTTTGACACTGAATCCCGAATAATTTATCACTAGGGCTTATGTAGCATCTACGTGCCATGAAAATAAGTGATTTTCATTGCCAGTTATAAATAGGCCTGCACACTGGCACACACTTAATTCACAGCCAGTTGCTCGTTTGGCCTTTTTGCAACGGAGTCAAGCAGCGAGATTTTGACAGGTATCCCCCATTCTAATTAACGATATATTTTACAACACCGTTCTTTAAGGTGATGCGTTATATTCTACAGAACCTTTTCTAGGGTGATATGCTTTACTTTACATATGACCTATGCCTATATGACCTATTTATTTATTACAATGACCTCACTATCTGAGGTGACTCCCTGCGATATATCCGTTGATAACCCTTCTGATCACTCCTACAGTTGTCCCAACGTTTGAGTATAAATGTGTATATACCGTCCAAACGCCCACTCATTTCAGTTCCATCACATCTTCATGACATGAACGATTTTTCTACAGGAATATATTCAAACTCAAATTCGTATCCAAATTCAGGTACACTCTGATATAATTGCGAATCACATCATCAATGTACATTGTATCAAGAATTGCATACATGGAGACCACTCATGGAGCAAACAGCATTCATAAGCTATGGATCAGGAAATGGATGGATGGATGGATGGATCAGGAAAGAATGGATCAAAATCCATCAAAAAAAAAATAGGTCGTCACAAAAAGGTCAAGCAGCCCTCATTCCACAACGTTCTTGACTATATGTCGTGCCGGGATGGGACACTGGATGTATGGGGTCGGATTCCCAGCGGTGCCTGCCGTTCCTGTCAGGGTGACCGGCAGGCGACGCTAGCCAGCCTCAGCAGCTCAGTGCGCTGTAAAGCCCCAATGACGAAGATGACAGTTTGAGCAACATGTCTGGGTGAGCTGAAAATGGCATGCTCGAAAGCTGAAACAAAAACCTGCTGAGATACCCAAGGACCAGTCAGAAGCTTACTGTTGCTTATTAGCTCAAAAAGTAAGAAGCATGACATTTCGCGCAAGATCAGCAGTGCGGAGGAGGGCGGCTTGCATGTGCGTAGAAGAGCAGTTACACAGGGGGCGAGGGCACGCAGGAATGATGTGAGTGCTTAGTATGGTCCTGGTGTAGAAGAGAATGGATCCTGCAGTACTTCTGATCACCTCTTCACGGACGGCGATTTGGTAGACATAAGTGGCGGGCTACCCAAGACAGTGCCCACCAGTGGCGGTACCTGTATTATTGACACGATCGATGGCCACACGGCTCCATTACCTTCCCACGCTCATGGTGTTCATCGGCAGGGGATTGGTGTGGCGGGTACCATGTCCCGGGATCTTGCACTTCACCGCCGGCCGATTATCAGTGCCGTGGGACTTAAAACCCGGCTGCGTGATCCGCACCACGAGCAACTGGCCGGTACCATCACAATGTTTCAGAAGGAGTGATACAACGCGGTGTTTGGTACAGATGTCATACCTCGAGCACAGATGGAGTCCAAGCGTGTGTGCGTTGTGCGATTGAACTACGCGTCCACGACTCCGCCAACTGAATTCCTCGCCGGACCATATGGCCCGTGACGTCACAGACGGCGCCGCCGATGTGACGCGCTCCGTTTCCGTCGGGCGCTGACTCCGCCGCGGACGGCTCGCTCACCTGGGCTCCCATGTCGACGGTGCGCTGCGCGGGGTCGGCGTCGCCGCTGGCCGCCGTCCGCCGCCCGCCGCCGTTAAATACCGGCCGCGTCGGCGGCGGCGCGTCGCCCACGACGTTCCGTGACGCCGCGCCGTCCGGCAGCCGTCGCGCCCGCCCGACCCAGTGACGTGCCGGGTCGGAATGGCTGGTGGCGCGTCCGGTTGCACGGCACTGCGGGCCGCCGGTGGGGCTGGTGCCACCGCGAGCGCCTGGTGGTCCGACTCCGGACGTCCCCGCTGGGAGCTGGGGGTCCCTCGACAGACAGGCTGCTGGTGTGGAGCGATAGGTGCTGTGAGTTATGATGTTAGGCGGTTATTTTATCGGAGCGCGTTGTTTTCTCACGCAAGGGAACGATGATCATGTGCAAAACACCGTAAGTACAGGATCATATGAGAGTAAATAATAGTAACTTGGCCAAAATGATATCACCCTATTTTGGATGACAATCCTTCGTCGGACGACGAGCAACAAGTAATTCGATTCATCAAACACACAATAATTATGGTCATTTTGAGCGAAAAATCACAGAAATCATGTATGTCCGGGATATGAAACCTACCATAAATTTAAGGTAGCCTGCTGGTCCCATATGAGCCAAACAAAAACGATCGAGCATAGAAAATGCAAGTGGGATAATCCTAGATGTAGTATGCCCGCCAGTATCCGCCATGTAGCTTACAATATTTGCGAACACCTCTCCAAGCCTTTTAAGCCCGCGCGTTGCAGGTCTGTGGGCTCAAAAATGCCGCCTCTGATCCAGAGCAAACAACCATGCAGACAAGGTAGCAAGTAAACAGCATGTGGCAAAGCAAAAACAAAAACTGTCCCTCTTCGAGCATGACACTGGAATTCATGTTGCTCTCTTCACACATAATTCGGAAGTACGTAAAACGCAGGTGTTACATTCTGACGATTCGATAGCTAAAATGTCCCGCAATAAACTAGAAGCTTGGTCAGAACTGAAGTGCAGCACCAGCCCAGTGTCCCTACCGCGGCGCAGTCATTCGAGCCGTGTTTTCATAACCTGCGCCCGGATCCCATTGGAAGTCCCGTCCACTCTTTTGCGTTCTGCTCCAATAGCTGCAATTATTATAATTATATAGTGGTCAAACTCAGTTCAATTATGAATGTTTCTAAACAGCATATTATAGCAATTGGTCTCAAATAGCTATGTTTACCTGCTTGAAATCTCTAAGCTGTAATGAAACTGAAAGGTCTTTGAGCTGGAGTCACATATTGATGAATTGTTGCCTCGTGCCTGGGAGAAACGCTGCAGTCATCCATTATCTTGTTTTGCGAAAAAACCCTTAAATCTTAAGTGCCTTTTCATTACACGCCAAATTCGCGTGAGGCGCTTCGCAACGCGTAACGTCAGATTCTGGGGGGGGGGGGGAGGCAGTGGCGGCGGCAGCCCATCGCGTTGTTTGAAAGGTGGGCGGCGGCTAGGTTCCTTCTTAAATATTTCTTCTTGAAAGCGGCGTCAGGTGGCGTTGTCAAGAACAAATATCCCTCTGCATGGATTCTGCAAGGCTGACACGGGCCATCTGCTAAAGGGTGATGTGTTCATAATTTTGAAACACCTGAAGGCAGACCCGAACATGGTGCGGCCTGAGTTTCGCCAACCTTAACTCAAAGGTAGGTAGAAGTAAGCCGCACATCCTTTCGCAGCGTGCATGCCTTAACTCGAAGTGATCCCCAGACTTCTGACCATTTATTAAGTACACATCTCATAAAGTAAAGGCAACTCTTCGATGATGATGAAGTGAGGGATTCAAAGATAACATGGAAAAGGTGATTTGACAAAACAAAACAAAGGAGCAAAACATTACACTATTGTGTACATGCATGGTGCGTGTGCATGTACGCGTGTATGGTGTACATTTCAAACCATTCATATACCACCATACATGTATACCATGCATGTTTGGCGTACATTTCAAACAACGCGATGGGATGCCGCCGCCGCTGTCTCCCCGAAATCTGACGTCGCGCGTTGCGAAACGACTCAGGCGAAATGCATCAGTGCTTTGCAGCGTGCAGTGGTAATGCATGCCAGCTTTGTGCCATTATCGTCCATTGAGGTTATCGAGGCTGCACAGACGGGTGTAAAATGGCGCGCAGAAGGGCGCATGTGCCTTTGTTCCCAAATATGCACAAGCTGTGCTCATTGCAAAAAATACTTGCAACCTAAAATAGTGAGTGATCCCTTCATGGGTGAACAACTGAACGGCTGGACGGCCGAGGGTAAGAGGTGTCGCTGTTCTCACTCGGGACGGGAGCAGTCCGGCGCGCATCACAACAATTACAGCGCCCTCTCTTGGCAGCAGCCTGCAATCGCTTTAAACACTTATTTTGGCTTTGGCCGCTTGTTTTGTTTCGACACCGCCCTACGGTAAGCGGCGAACCATGTTTAGCTCCGTGTGCCCGCCTCAAAGGTGCGCGGTGGCTGACCTTGAGGCGAAGGTCTTTGATTCGGAGGAGGCTGTGTTATGTGCCGACGTTGACTGTGACGTTACCAACACTAGCATCTGCTCCCCGACCATCCAGTGATGATGTTGTGATAAACGCCGATGTTGACTGTGACGTTACCAACGCTAGCATCTGCTCCCTGACCATCCAGTGCTAAGGTTGTGATAAGCGCCGATATTAACCGTGACCTTAAGGAGCCGCACTGTGATTGCCGTAAGTACTCTCTGAATTTTATCGGATTTTTCGTTTCTGTTGCACATCATCTCCAGAACATATTCATCAGGATCTGTTCTAGGTTAGAAACGATTCCAGTCTAGTCTAGCGCAGTGGCACCCGGCTTTGTATTTTCAGTTTGCGTCGGTTTGTACGTGCGTCCATTTCTGTATCCATCGCCAGGTATCGGCTGCCGCCTGTCACCGTTCTTGACCGTGTTCTGCATCGTCTTGACGTGCTTCCGTTTTACCATGATCTTGCTAGGACTGACTGGGTATGGTGGTTCCATCTGCAACTTTGACTGAAGAATGGCAACGTTTTTTCCATGTGTTCACTCTCATCACTGACGCCCACGTCTCGTTTCGCTTCAGCCCGTTGTGCGGGAAGGTACGATCAATATCAAAACTAAACCGTTGTATTACTAAAGATTTGACTCATAGATAGTTGCGACGCCCATGTCGAATTCGCTGCCTCAGAGACGCCGCCAGACATCTTATTTTGGCTTTCATTAAGGTCAGGGTCCCTGACTTCAAATGACCCCGATCAAACCTTTTCTGCCCGGAAGACGCCTCTTCGTATCGTTCCTGATGCTTATTTCAAACTGAAATCTGCAAAACAATTCCGAAGGTTTTGGTAAACTTGACCATTTAAGGGTCAAATAAGGCCATTGGCCTCTGACCGGCGGTTGCATGGGATTGCTTGAGAGCGCATCGAACATCGATTTGAATTCCGACCTTACTTGGCTTTATTTTGACACGTAGGTCATTATCGGGGAATTAAAAATTTGGTACAAATGACTTCACGTGGCTTTGAGCTATTAAGATGTTCGTAGCCAAACGCGGTATTCTACGATTTCATGGTAGACCAAGAAGTAAACGATTTTCAAGGGCTGATAAGCCGTTAAAGTATAAGCCGGTGGTGGGTGGAGACTGTCAAAGTTCTGGGGAGTACAACCTTATCCGTGGACTGGGCACTACGCTCTGGCGCAACGTTCTAATGCTGGAGCAAAACACGTGGCAGACAGGCGATGCGGCAACATGTGCCACTGCTTTGCATGCCAAAAAAGGCGACTTTTGTTCGGCAGCTTCCCGTTGACAACATGACATTCTGGAATAATTTGTTGTGCTATAAGCTGATTAAAAAAGCCGGTACACAAAACCGGGGCAACATGCAAGCGATGAAAGGAATGCTGACCGTCGCTACAAACAGCAAGACTAAATGATGTGGGTAGTTTTGGCGAGACGCAATATCAAAGGGTTGTTTTGATAAGAAGAAATGGTTGGAAAGTGGGCGGGGCAGACAGGGAGCGGTGAACGCCATCGTCCTTTTGTATCGGTGATATCATCGCAGAAGACGAGAGCAAATTCTTTGTGTTTACGGGGTACAAAATAATTAGGGATTTCGAAACTTGTTCAAAGTCATTCGCGCAAGGAAGCGGTCTCTTAAGTATTCGAGCGCGTCGAGAGGTGAAGCACAGCTACACAGTTGAGCATATTACTCTTACGCCAGGCTGGAGCCTCAGGTAAGACCACGCTACAGTCAACCACGAGACCTTCCAGGTCCCTGATGGCACGCACCCACATCGCGTACCAAAATAATCCTGCTAAATGCATGAAATGTGCTGGCCGAGCAGTCGTGATACCGGTACGTGAGACATATTGCGTCATGACTTCAAAAGTCCTTCGGTGACGTGCATTCTCTGTGTTCGATTTTTGTTGTTGAAAATTTGATGTTGTTTTTGTGCCACACGTAATGATAGTCGACCTCCCCAAGCAGCACTACATAACCGAATTCAGTGTAACAAAATTGGCCTCTTCGAAGCTGCGATAGGTGGTTGTAATTGGCATTCATCGTTTTCGTAGGAGACAAAGTTTTTCATTCCGAACAAAACGTCCTTTGACACTGGTAGGGGTTTTGCCGCTTAATTGCAACAGAATAGCAAAATCGTTACCAGACATTTTTCACCAAAGTGCATTTCAATTGATTTTGAGCTGCATTTTTGACAACCTGTAAGGTCATCAGTCAAACAACATATTTCAGCTAAGCCCTATCTGGGTGATTTTGCGCACGGCCAGCATCTACTGTCTTAATTTGTCCGATCCAACGGCCTGGTTCTGATATAAGCGGGGGGGGGGGGTGTACAATGACTCATTCTCATACATTCGGTATCAAGGTCATACTCCAGGCCTGCCGGGGAAAGGCATATTCATTCCCACTTCAGGCTCATTTGTGGAAAGACGTTTCAGTGAATGATATGCTAAGATTCGGATGCATTCGTCTTCTAGGGGAGTGCGCCATTTTTTATCCCTTTCACGTCGGTGTTTTTTAGACTGGTACAT